ATAGGAAAAGTTTTTTACGAAAGCGGGGATGGGTCGATTTTCGCATAGGAAGCCATAGGAAAAAATGAGTATTTTTGCAATAACTCAGGAACGGCTCGGCCAATCATGCTCATCTTCGAACTCGATCGAGATATTGTTAAGACTGAACTGTATAGAAAATGTCCATCAAGTATTACTCGAGAAATTGTTGAAGAAACTAAAAACGAAATAATTAATAGAATTCTTTTTGCTATGTCACATGAAATAACCAGCAAATTAGAAGCAATTGAAGAACGTCTTTCGACATTTACTTGTTTGAATGAAAAATGTTCATCAACTGTAGAATTATCTTGGCAAATATATGAAAATCTTCAAATTCCATTAATTGAATGGTTACGTGTTTTTGATCAAGCTAATAGTCATCAGACATATATAGATCATCTTAATCAAATAGCTGGTTTATGTTATGATCAAGTACTTGTTGCTGCTACGTTCAATGGATTAATTTCTTTGGCAGCTGTTGGTCCAGCAACTATTTTAACTTTAAATACAACATGAAATCAACCTCAACTATTTGGACAAGTTTATTGGTATCGTACTGGTGGAAAATCTTTCGGATTTTCTTCACTTCCTACTGTTCGACAAACTTCAGCTGATAATGAAGATTTGAATAGTTCTTTACGTCTTAGTTGGTTATTGGATCAAAACATCAGTGGTTATAGAGCAGGTGTTGTACGTTCACTTGCCGATAATTCTATTTGGCGTAAAGTTATTTATTGTAATTAAGATTTATCAATTTAAAATAATTTTTTATGTTAACAATAATATCGCTAAGAAATAAAATATTATATTATACATTCTTTTTTTTGTTACTTTAGCAGAAGGATCCTTTCGAATTTGTTGACCTATCTTGAATCAAGATATTATATATTTATGCGGTTTTCTAGAACAAGTTTTGGCGCATTGAATAGTATATGAGAAACAGGGCTCGAAACGGGCCACTTTTATAGGGCCCGGTCCGGCCCACAGTGGTCCATCAAATTTGTCTGCCCGCCCGGCCCGGCCCGACATAGGCCCAGCGAAACTGTTTTTAGAAAATATTTTTTGCAGAACTGATTATAAAAATAAACGTCGTATTTCAAAAGAATTTCCGTAGAGTTCATCAATAATTTATTGATGAATTTAATGACATTAGAACATTAATGTCAAAAAAAATTAATTAACAATTATCACGAAAAACTACTAGACGTAGAACAAGTGAAACAAACTGCATTGTGCATGAAAAAAATCAACATTTATCTGAGAACAGATTAGGGTTATTTATTAATGCTTTTTATATAGAACGAGCAAAAAGAACATCTTCTACTGTATCTGGATTCAATGAATAAAGTTAATAAAAAAAAGTAATGAACAGAAAGAAGTTTTTGTTAATTGCGTGTGAAAGCAACCATGAAGGAAACAAATAACAGATTTCATAAAGAGAAAAGTTACTTGTTTATTGTACTATCCATTGATACTTTCATAGACATTTTCATCATACATATTTCGTAATAATTTCTGAAACTGATGACATCCATAAAATTTAATGAAAACAATCTTGCTAAGCCGGGCCGCCCGACAAAATCGTCGGCCCACCCGGCCCGTTGGTCTTTCTCTATTGGCCTGCCCGGCCCAAAGGAAAAAATTCGTTGGCCCGTTTCGAGCCCTGATGAGAAATCAAGTTTTATGAAAATTTTCATGTTCTGAAAGTACATATACTGGTTAAAATCTTTGTGAAATATATCTCCCTGGAAAAAAAATAATTAGACTCAATATTTTTAACATATCATTGCTACAAATTAACATTTTGAAAAAATTCATTATATATTCAGACAGCTCGTGAAATCCTCTACAACTCTATATGTTTACGTTTTGAATTGTACTAGTTTGACAAGGGATTCTCATCGTCAGATTTTCCGAAAATGCATTTTTTTTCCCATTTATTGTCAATATAGAAAAACGTCATTACAAAACTAAGTACATAATTTGAAAGTGCATGAAAGTCTCCATCACTCTGTACTTTCTCAACCGAGATTAGCTATCACGTGTATAATGTCTGAAAATAAAGAAAACGAAAAAGTATCTCTTTATTCTCATTCATGTGTTCTGTAGGCAAAAGAAACGGTTGCAGGGGTGGGTAAAAACAAACTGTCACAGCTCTTTTGGGCATCTCAGAATCTTCCTCTTCAACACTATTGGGAGCATGATCTTCACCCGCCACTATGCTTACAAAGGAGTGTATCACATTTGACTAACGAAATGTAAAATAGAACCCATGAAAGTGTGGGAGTTAAAATAATATATTAATAATTTCTCCAAATGATCATTTTTCATTTCTTAGAGCGTATATTGCTTTCTGAATAATCGAATAAAAAGAAACATACAAACAGTTTAATGCGGATGAACCTCTCTTTCACAAAAGCGACAACGAAATACAAAATCTCATTGACTGAAGAAAAGTCAGGAACAGATATTATTGTTCACAAAAATGTGAGAAAACCTCCAATTAGTAGAAGAAAAACTGAGAAATAATCTTCTTGGTCGAAAAATATCTCAAGAACATTTCCGAGGTTGTAGCTACCCCATTGTGTCTAAAGAGTCAAAGTCTAAAAATAATCTTCCGAGCGATACAGACAGTGAAGTCAATTCGAACTTCGCTTTTTTGAACACCTTTGGTGAATCTTTCTTTCCAAAACTTGGTTTCTATTAGCACCTAACCCACTACATGGAGTTTTCAGGGAAACAGAGTTCAGATTCGAACTCCCATCCAAGAATAACCCACAGAGAACTATTTTTCGAAAAACTTAATCTCTATTTGTTCTTAATCGACCATTCAGACACCGAACAAATATATGAAACTCCGTTGTGAAGATTGATTCTTTCACGATTGAGAAAAACCGAAAATGCACCAGATTGGCTGAGAGTAAAACAAAATATTCACTCGATTGGGTGTTTTTTTTAATGTTGAATTTCTATTGGTTCATTTTTCAACCAATCAGATTCTGGACAATCTGACCAGCACTTGACGTTATACAGACTCATCCTTTCAGGATTGAGAATAGGTTCATTGTTACTTTCTTCATACTGAAAAATGGTCACACCTCTTAGGTGTAAGTCATTTCTTGGCTAGTTGATATTCTAATGTGTTCAACTCTATGCTCCAGAACACGTGAATGCCAACATGAAGCATTTTCAAAAATTGCATACAATCAAGCTCTATATGTTTCACAGATACCATCTTTCAGAAAATTCGGGACTAATTGTCAACTTGCAACATTGTCTTCTAGAATAGTTTTTTTTCGTGTACGAAGGAACCCATATGTTGAAGATATTTTAACAATACTCAACAGTTATTATTAAAAAGTTTTATGTATTACCAATAATCAGCATAACATTCGTGATGAACTGATATAAATATTTCTTTTAGAAACTGAAATTCGTTTTTGGCCTCTCGATCTCTAGAGGAAGATGTAGAAACATAGAAGCTTGTAGAATTTCATGCATAAATCAAATCTGAATACTCGAAATAAAAATTTGAAAAATAACTAATAAAAGTAATAAAAAATCTTTCTGCAACCATATTCTCGTATTCACCTACAGAGATTCGAAGAGGCAAAAAATATTTTTTTCATCTATAAAGAAGTTATTTATATGAGTTTATCAAGGACACTATTGATTATTTATACATTAGTATTTTTAATAGGACTGTTGAGTATTGTTAAAATATCTTCAATATATCAGTCCCTTTATACAAGACAATAATCTATTCTAGGAGACAATCTTGGAATTTTGCAATCAGTTTCTATTTTTTTGAAAGATTTTATCTAGTAAACAACATCAATTTCATTTTTCTATTGATTAAAAATAAATATTTGAATAGAAAAAAAACATGGTTATTTAATATATGATTATTTTCATTATTATGGTGACAAATCTTGTCAATGATTTTGAAACAAATTTTATCAATAGAACAACAAATGCGACAAATAAAACTGAAAAATATTAGTCTGTTAGATTAAGCATTACTATAGTGGTCAATAATGGCTACTATTTTAATACATACAGGCATAAACAATCAGGAATCCTCCAATCTTGACAAATATTCGTTTTTTCAAAGCGAACTTCCAAAGTTTTATTCGTTTTTTTGTTTATACATCGAGTTGATACCTCTCCAATTCTGGCGACCTCAGAATACTTTTGTACTCATAAAAATTGTGATGATTGTAAGACTCTTTCAGCGGTTTGATTTACATTCTAGGAAAATATAGAAGTAAATGTTTCTCTGGTGATAGTCATGTTCAATTAATTGATGGAACTTCGAAAAAAATTGTCGAACTACAATCTGGTGATCTTGTTTATGCTTGTGTTGTTTCAAAAGTTGTTCGTGTAGAAATGATAATGATGTTAGATCGCCAATCATCTGTTGACGATTATGAAATAAAAAATATCCTCTCATATGAAATTTTCTTTAGTTATATTTCATACTCTAAAAACTGAATTGGATCAGCAGTTAAGTTTAGCATCATATCATTTGATTGATCTTTTCTCATTGAATGAGAAACTAATCTATAAACCAACTAAAAATCTACAAATTTATGATTCGACTTTTTATTCTTTCAAACAATCACTTCGTATTATCATCTATTGTTGAAATCATAATTGATATTGAAACAGGATATTATATGGACCTTTTACTAGTTAAGACAAATTTTCATCATATATCGATAAAGTCTATCATTAATTTTTATGTGTAGTTTTTGTTAATGGTATTCAATGAAGTTGTTACGTTAATCTAAACAGTTATAGTACCACACAATATTAAATAATATTATTGAAATGGATTTATTATATTAGTCAATTGTTAATGATCAATGATCTATTTGAAATATCGTCTAAATATGATTTTCATTGGATAAAAAAATTAATGTTTGAGCTTGGTCAATAATTTCGACTGTCGACACTTCTTTTATAGCTTTCTCTAAAACATTATATCTATTTAGAATATTTTCTATTTTGAAAGAATAAAATATATTGCTGTAAATTTAATAATACTAAAAAGAAATTTATTTCGAAATGAAAATAAATAATATGTAATCTTACCATAAAATTTACATAAAGACTTAATAATGCGAAAAATTATGCCATTCTAAACTATTTCTGAACAGCTTGGAAAAGCTTACAATTGAATGATCTGATTTAAAACAATTAAATTTAACGCTGCATCTACTGGGAGTCATTTAACTTAAATAACCTGTTTAAATGAGCGTGTCAAATCATTTTATCATCGCTTTCTCTCCTATTCAAACATAATAATTCATTAAAATCTTTGATTATATGTGTTGTAGACCATCTTAATATATACTTATTTCTGTTATAGCATGAAATATGTCTATTATTCTATCTTAATTTTAACTCTGACACGAATTTATTATAGAAGATTCGTTTAATTCTTCACTTTTTACATGATTTTAGAATGATTTATTTGGTAGAGCATTGCTATTGATTTGTCTTTTTTCATT